ATTGCCATAGGCCAATTAGCGGAATAGCCGCGTTCTGAGGTACGCAAAACATCACTTCAATGACACATAACTTAACTGCTCAGGCTGGGCCCCACAGAGAACATACTCGGAGCACCACCCAATCGAGGGCTATAAGGGTCCCTATTGCACGGTAACTGGCAACAGGTGTTGCGTGGGAGCACACACACCTGCCCACCCCTACCGCACACCATCAGTCACCACACGTGGCAGTTAAAGAGAACACCAGAGGGGGGGGATCACACAGCAGAACACCCAGGGCCTAAGGGAAACCAGCCAAGCCAACTGAGCAAGGCTACACCCCAACGCAACACAACACAACCTGGGTGACGATACGATCCCTCAAAGCTGGGTGGGCATCCAAGGATGCCCCATTGTGAGTAATATCGCCACACAAGGCTCAGTTACGTGCATGGGCAAAGTTAAATGTGAAATGTTAGTTGTGATAAAGTTATATGTCCGGTATTGTCTGATGTTAGCATGATATAACTCAAACACACAATGTTACAAATAGGTTCTGGTTCTTTTCCCAAACATTGCCTCATAGAGCTTGTTAGCCACAAATATGGAGGTCGATAGCCTCCATCCCCCACGCACCCATGCAGAGTGCCTTCACTTTACCGTGGCGCACGGCGTTTGTACATACTTTATTTTCCTTTTCTCATACTTAGGCCTTGTTCTGGCCAACCCCCTAACCACACCCCATCCTTCCTCTGAGACAAGGGAGAAGCACCCTACACCTGAAACAAAACAGAGCATCCATTGGGTACACTGCACAGATGGAATAACACCGAGAGATGGGCTGCATTGCTTGTTGCAACTGGGACATGCAGCACCCTCTAATAGAACTCATTTTTTAAACCTAGCTCTGATATTCACGATGGGGTTTAGACCCCCATGAAGATATATACACACACAACGTAAGGGGACTAAACGCCCCGGTAAAAAGACACCACCTGAGCAGAGAACTTGGTTCACAGAGAGCGGATGTTGTATGCTTACAGGAGACCCATTTCAAGAAGAATACCCACCCAAAACTCCTGAGTAGGGAATACCCCCACCAATTTCATGCTACCTCCCCAACGAAGGCAAAAGGAACGTCCATACTGATTAGCAGACATGTGGCGTTCACACCCCACTCACATGCACTAGATAGGGAGGGCAGCTATGCAATGGTCATAGGCACGTTTAACGGAATACTGTACACTATCATCAACATTTATGCACCCAACTCTGAGCAAAGAAACTTCCTTCACAAAATCCTCACCACAATAGTAGAAAAACAACAGGGCATTACGGTAATATGCGGAGACTTCAATCATGTCTTAGACCCATCTATGGATACTACTCTCCCTGCACACAGTCCCAGACTTAGTCCCTTAAAAAGGCAATGCAAGGCAATACATAAATTGCTCCACGCATACCATCTATATGACGCGTAGATACTACACACTAGCCTTTATGTTCCACTCCTCAGTGCATGATTCATGTAACGGAACCGCTGGCACCCCGACCGTGTACCTTCTGCCGACGGATGATCCTAGTGCTTTCCGAGGACTCCAAGCACTCTGCCCAACACCATAACCACTGCAGACCCCACGAACCGCCGCAGCTTGGTTGGGGTCTCGCGGTCTCCACCCACTCTGGACCCAAGACCAGGATCCAGCTTCCAGTAGGTTGACCTCTCCGAATTCCAGAGAGCAGGAACAAGCTCTTAGCAGAGCTTATACCCTGGGGAGTATAGTGATTATAGCAATCCCCAGAGTGTAGTTTCTCCAATCCCCCAAACATGAGCTGAAACTTCATGAAGGTACAAAATGATCTGATCCTTTAATGGCACATACTCTGCTTTTATGCAATTCTCCCCTGCAAGGGAGACGCCCACAGACAATTATACATTACCCAATCACACAATGGTTACATCCCACACATCTCAATTATCTATACATTTTAAAACCCACATTTTACCCAACTTTCATAACTCCAAAACTATACATCCAATATTAATAATACTTACATATTATTAATCATCACACACTTTAAATATAAACATAACCAAAAATCAGCCAAATCCATCCAGGGGTTAAAAAGTTAGATGGAGGTCCGTTTATGACTGACCGCAAGCACATTTTCATGCCCAAAACAGTTCCATAGATTTGGGCTGTGCGGACGGTCTATTTCAGGCTGAAAAAACGACTAAGTCCCATAGCCGAATGGGACTTAGTCTCTGCAGCTGTAAAATCAGTATGAGAGAAGGTAGGGCTCAGCGGTGTTCGTGGGAATGTGTAGCCATTTTAGTTCCATGAATTTGGCTACACATACCGCTGACCTCGTTCGCATTAACAAAGATGGCCGCCGCCACGTGTTCGGCAAACGAACAAAGGCCACCCAGCACTGTTAATTAAGCTGCGGTTAACCGCAGCTTCTGGGAGATAAATTGCCTGCATACTTCCACTTCTGGGTGGTTTGCCTGTGTGGTACTTGGTTCAGTAAGCCCCATTTACTGAACCAAGTGGGAAATAGCTAGGCACAAAAGGTTTTAAGCAGGTCTGGGGACACAGGGGACACCGTCTTAAAGGGGCAGTGTCCCAAACAAGTCTTAAAGGGGCAGTGTCCTAATTTTCCCTATGCCCCAAAAAGGTGCTTAAAGGGCCAGCAGCAGCACAATATAAATCCATTAGCACAAATAAGGTTTGTAAAGTGCCATACAAACCAGGGCCGTAGTCATGAGGCAGGAGGCTGGCACTCAGGCTCCTCCAACAGCAAGGGGCAAATGGCAACTTGTCTAGTGACGAAAGGCATTTTGTCACAATTCATACTTGCGTATAGAGGGCTTCCTTCTAAAGGGTCAGGCGTTAGACCAAATGACTCAATGTGAAATTGGGGGGATATCCTGGTCTGATCATGCCCTGGTGACTCTAACACGTAAGGATGCCTATGATCCTACCCACTGCAGCCCATGGAGATTAAATGAGTTTTTCCTGAAAGACACCTCATTCACAAAAGACATAGACACACAGATGAGACTGTTCTTCTTGGACAATAGTCCTGACGAGACCGCCCAGGCGAACATCTGGCAAACACACAAAGCAGTCATCCAAGGCTTACTGATAAGGAGGGCCTCATACCTTCGTAAAAGATCACAAACACAATTAGTGGGCTGGCAAAAAGACCTACAGGACTTAACCAGGCAGAACCAAGTGACCCCATCCACCACCCTGCAGGCCAAAATTCAACATATAACTAGGCAAGTTAACCAACAGGCCCTAGAGAAGAAGGGATATAAATTACATAAACTTAAAGCATCACACTACGCCCAGGGCAACAAAGCGGGCAAGATGTTAGCAAATAGACTACGAAACCAGCTAGCCAGCCAAAAAAATCACCCACCTAATATCCAAGGAGGGGAAAAAAATTATAGCTCTGAAAGACATCAGCAACGAATTTGCCAGGTACTATGCCTCGCTATACAATCTAAAACATGACGCATCCCTCCACCAGCCAACACTCCCAAACATAGAGGGATACCTAGGCCCTCTTCCCCTGCCCAAACTAACGGAAGAACTAAGCCAATTACTTTCTTCCCCAATCTTAGAATCCGAAGTTAAAAAAGCAATACTTGCTCTGCCCAACAATAAAGCCCCAGGCCCAGAAGGATTCACTAATTGCTACTACAAATGCTTCAGGAACACCCTAACCCCACATTTGACAGCAACCTTTAACAAAGTCATTGACCTAGGTACACACAGGAGAATGCCAGCTAGCACATATAGTGACACTCCCCAAACCTGGCAAGCCACCTACCCAGCCCCAAAACTTTCACCCTATATCCCTGCTTAACCAACCATAATCGACTCGGACTAAGTGGGATTTGTCAAGGGACGCCAAGGCAGCAAAACACTAGAAAGGTCTTAGACATAATTTGTGGACTGCAAGGCACACAGAAGGAAGGCTTAATAATGTCCCTCGATGCAGAAAAAGCCTTTGACCGCTTGCACTGAGGCTTCATGGAAGGGGTCCTGAACAAATTTAACATCCCGGGAAGATTCAGGTCGGCAGTCAGGGCCCTTTACTCTGCACCCTCAGGGAAGGCGTTAAATGCTGGCTTCTTATCAGACCCTTTCCCCATTACGAACGGATCTAGACAGGGGTGCCCACTATCACCGTTGCTCTATGTCATGGCGCTAGAGCCGCTGGCGCTTCAAATTAGACAACACGACCGAATACACGGAGGGACGATAGGGCACAAACAATACAAGGCCAACCTATTCGCGGATGACATACTTCTTACCCTGACGGACCCGCACACATCACTACCACCACATATGGGAGACATTCATATTACAAATTGAACGTAACCAAGACCCAAGCCATGTACCTGGGGCGGGACTCGACACAGTTAGAGAGGATGCAGAACACATACCCCTTTAACTGGAGGGAAGACTACCTAACCTTCCTAGGGATAAAATTAACTAAAAGCTGACCTCGCTATATAAATACAACTATGAACCACTTATACAGAGTCTTACCTCCACTATGCAGAAATGGGAGGGCTGCTTCTTATCATGGGTGGGAAGGATAGCAGCAGTGAAAATGATATTGATCCCAAAGTTCCATTACCTTTTGCGAACACTACACATACCCCTCCCGAACACGTACCTCACTAAGCTACAGAGAACTCTGGTCCAATTCGTTTGGAACAAGAGCAAACCCAGAGTGGCCAACACAATACTAATCAAACCCAAGCAAAAGGGAGGATTGGGTCTCCCGGACGTAAAGTCCTATTACAAAGCGGCGATAATAGCCGCAATAGTACCAATGCAAACCCAGACACACAGACCACAATGGACAGACATAGAAGCACACTGGGCGGGACAGAGGAGCCTTGAACATTCTGTCTGGGTCCCAAGGTCACAGAGACGCTGGGCTGCCACAACCCTCCCCACGACACGTCTCACCTTTCAGGTATGGGACGCGGCGAGGGGCCACACCGCTACAGAGCATGGGCATCCAAGTACCAACCTTAGACTATAGATCATGGGTCCAGCGGGGATGCACACGCTTGTACCAGCTGCTCCATGGAAACAAAATTATCCCTTTTCCGGACCTGCAGACCAGGTTCAACTTGCCGAGTAAACTACTGTTCCCATACCTCCCACTAAAGTCGTACATATTAGAAAACTGTAAAGCTGACACAGGATCCACACAGCTGACACAATTCGAAACGCTATGCATAGCCCTTACCCCAGCATTGCTAGATGCGCACCCACTAGAGACCAGGTCATACAGGGAAGCATGGCACAAGGAGCTGGGATACACAATCCCGGATGACCAATGGGATAAAGCACATATGGCACATAGAGGTAACACAACATGCGCAACACACTTTGAGCTGATGAGAAAACTTATGTACAGATGGTGCTATGTACCCGATAGACTTGCCAGCATATATCCAAATGTATCCAATAAATGTTGGAGATACGGGGAGGGAGTGGGTACAATGTTACATGTCTGGTGGTCTTGTCCGAGCCTCCAGGACTTCTGAAAAATGGTCACAAAGGAGGTATCAAATGTTAACCAAAAAGAGCAGTGTTGTACCCCCGACCACTGTATCTTGTTCATATTACCGAGAGATATACCTAAACCACTGACCAAACTTACTTTTCAGATCTTAATAGCGGCTAACACGTTGCTTGCGAGAGCCTGGAAAACAGGTAAAGTCCCGAGCACAAAAGCCTTAAGGGAACAAGTAACCCTTAACTGTGCAAATGGCACACTCCTACATAGCCCCTAACCCCAACACCATCAAAGCAAAATCCATATGGGATAATTATACATGTAAAGCTACTAACGAGGGAAGACCAGGACGTTAAACCTCAACCACGACTGGTTAAAGAAAATAAAATGTTTAGTTTCTTGATAGAACGGAACAGATGGTAGATACAACCAAAGCAGACCCAGAAGAACTAACCAGATACTGGGAGTGTATCTCTATATTATCTGCATTATCTTTATGTTATTTTTATGTTACCATGTTGACGTGATGTTTTCTTGACAAACAATGCATCGATTACTTGATTGACAATCACCCCCTGAAACCCCTCTTTCCTTTCTGTACCCAGAAACCTTAATAAAAATTGTCAAATTGAAAAAAAAAAAAATACAGTTAGAACAAATGTAAACTGGTATATAATTTTTTTAAATTTAATTACATTTTTTTATTTTATTTTTTAAAATTTATTTATTGATTTTTTATTTATTTATATATAATTTACTTTATTCTAAGTGTTTTTTAATATTAATCTATATATATTATATATATATATATATAAATTAATATTAAAATACACTTAATAATGGTTTGTGTATGTGTATATAAAAGTACTTAGATCATATATATATAGATACATATATATATGATCTAAGTACTTTTATTTACTTTTTTAAAAATTTATTTCAGTTTTACAAACTTTGTAAAATATTTCTGCAGGCATTAGGGGGACTGCATGAGAGCTCAGGCAGGCCCCCTGCAGGCACTGCATAAGCTGGCTATTCCGGCCAGGTGATCGCGAGGACCCCGTGATCACATGGCCCGGGGGGCAGATCAGATGCAGGAGGACTACCTGGGATGCCAGGCAAGTCCCCACATCGCGATCGTCGGCAGGGGATCGCCAGCAATCAATTAAGTGCCTATTTGCTATAAGACGTACCACGTATGTCCGAGGTCGTCATTTTTTGTCGGACGTACCTGGTATGTCCGAAGTCAGGAAGGAGTTAAGTACATATTTTTATTAAAAACACTCCTTTCTACTTGCGCTAAAGAATTGAGTTCATGCAGCACCGGTGGGTGGCAAGGACCATGAAAAAAGATACATAGGTGGGCGTGAGGTAGTAAAAGGTTTACTATCCCTGCTGTAGAATATATACTTAAAGAGAAATCCCTAACTAATAGAAGCATGTCTTTATAAACAAAATAACTTTTGGCTGACAAATGTTTTTTTTAAATTATTTCTATTTCTGGAGGTGGAAAAAAAGTGTGCACGCTTTCCAGAACATATTAGGTGTCTACATAAAAATATTTTAGCTAAGGCAATTGCCGTCCAAATAATGTCTTTGATGTGTATATTTTGGTGAAATTAAGCTGTTATTCAAGATAGTGCAGGGAAGAATTCAGTAATTCAGAGGTGTATTCAAATTTGTGATTACCACACAGAAATTCAGCATATTTAGACAGAAGGGAATAAGCATCTGAAAGGTCAAAGGATTGTTCAATATTTTCATAAAAGTGAAAAGTATTTATAGAAAATCCTCTTTATCTTTGGAATTGTGACAGGATTAACACCCGGTTTTACAAAAACAGATCGGAGTTCTGAATTCCTGCTACTAATATTATATAATATTGAATAGAGAGCTGAATACATTTTTTAAACTTGGGAGTTCTTCATTAACATACAGTTTCTTGCTCTGTTCATTTTTTATTATTCAAAGTTTATTGAGCATATATTGAATATTTCTCACCTAAACAGTGTAAGAAAAACTAAGTTACTAAGGACAGCCATAACAATTATAAACAACAATTGTGTTGTCATAATATTGCCAAGCTAAGCAGTACATAGAAAGGCAAAAATTACCAAAACATAAATATATAAGTGAGTCAGTGAGTAAAGAAATTGAAGATTATGCTAGCCTTAGTGTACTAATAATTTTAATTTTAATAATGACAGGAGTAATTTTAATAATGACAGGAGTATTTTGTATCTTTACTAGCTCCACACAGCAGCAAAGAAACACATAGAAAAAAGAACCAATCACAAGAGAGTCGGATGTACATAAGGCATAGTGACCTCATCACTTCCTCTTTCAGAAAGCGACATCAAGCGGAAGTAAACATATAACCAGCAATAACAATAACTCCTAAGTCCAACATCCGAAGGGGCAAACTTCCCCGTGATTTCCACACAAACAATGAAAAAGTGTTCAGGGACGAATCAAATCCGAAGGATTAAAATTCCAGAGAGTTTCACACGGGCAATCGAATGTCGTCAGAGACAAATCATACTGAAAAGAGAATGTGTGACAGGTTTAGGCACATAGTCATGAACATGTAAATCCAAGTAACATACCATATTCATCATCATAGAGAAGAAAACTGTAAATTACGATCTACAATTTGAATAACTATTATGTAAAACTCCAATGAGAATTCCAGATTATTGGCAATACAATCATCAATGTAAGTACAAAACATGAGAGGCAAACCTACCTTAGACCCATGATACATACAAAGAAAACAAACAGAAAGGGTGGGTTAGCGAAACAGGGAGGGAAAGTACTCGCCTCCTGTCATTATTAAAATTAAGATTATTAGTACACTAAAGCTAGCATAATCTTCAATTTTACAACATGACAGGAGGCTTTTTTTAAATTCTTTATTTTTGCAGGTGATGCATTATAAAACAGTATAAAATACAAAATACGGGTGGCATGCTTGGTACACGTTAATATACAGATAGCGAGCACCTGATTTATTTATTTTTTTGGTCAATAACAATTAAACTGGTAGTCGGAAGGGGTTTATAGTCAACTGTTAGGTGCCCGTCCGGTTGCACCAGGGCCTTTGTGACCCTTGTGGTCTTATCGTGCTATAAGTTGTTTATGTATGAAAGAGATATGCTATAGGCTCATAGACAAGGAACCTATACCTACAATGTCGCTATGAGGGGTAATAGTAGAGTGCTGATTAATGGCGTATGCATGTGTTCAGCGTGTATAGGTTTTTGCGTGGTCCCTAACCTAAGGGGACGTCGGGGGGTGGGGGGAAGGAAGTGTAGTCGGTAGTTAATGGGTACTATTGGTGTCGTCTCTAGGGTAAGGACTGTCTAAGTGCACAGACTTCTCTGGGGCTCCAGTCAGGTCAACATAAGCACGTTTCAGTGAACAGGTGAAGACAGCAAGGAAAAAATAAAACTGTAATGTTGCAGCGTAAGTTAAGGTGGCGTACTATTTCACGGCACCCTGTCTATTCCATGGGGTGAACGGGGTTATGTTGTCCACATCCCAAATCCCGTTGGTGTCTCGGGCCATCACTGATGCCAACTACCGCTAGGAAGGTAGTGGCCTCCGTCACGTCGGTAGCCTTCATCTGTCTGCCTTCTTTAAAAACTGTAAGGGATCTGGGCATAGTCCAGCGGTATGGTATGCCTGCTTTTTGCAGCTTTTGTGTGATAGGTTGCATCGTTTTTCTCCATAACAGGGTGGAGAGGTGGAGATCCTGGAAGAGTGAAATCTTGTGAGTCTCCATAGGTGACTTGTTATGCATTGCTTTCAGTAGGGCTTGCTTGTCTTGTCACGTGCCGCAGCATAGTATTATGTCTCTTGGAGCCGTGTTCGGCGTCCTAGGGGACTTGGCAATGTGGTAGGCACCATCTTGCGTGAATTGCTTGGTGTAACGGCACCCCCAGACATAAAAGGGTTAAACCGCCATTTAGTAGATCTTCCCCTTCCAGAGACACAGGCACAGCTCCTGCAGAACACCAATCCGCCGAACAGGAAACCATACGAATGCTGTAAACAGCCGAATAGGAAAAACCATACGAATAGGTTTACACTCCTAGCAGTCAAACTGGAACAGCATACAGTAAATCCCCCCAAGAATGAGACAAAGCTCTGTGTTGAGGGTCAAGCAGTGAACAGACAGAGCTGTGGGTTTATTGTGCTTATGTACACATTCTTACACATTAGTACCACCCACAGGGTTTTGGAACACAACCAATAAACACATACAATACACTCAGACACTCCCACACAAATTCCTCCCCTCTGCATGTGATTCAATTACCTTACACAATGGGTAATGTAATTTAGCACAAGCAGAGAAATACAATTTTTCCACATTATTCATAACTTGAAAAGTATGCATCACATTCACATTTTCAGAATCAGCATACTCCAAATACAAACATACGTCAAAATCATACAAATTGGTCCAGTGGTTCAAAAGATAGATCATAGTCCTTTGTGACCACAGGAAGCATGGCTTTTCTGCCTAAAACCAGTTCCACAGAGTGTTCTATCCTGGAGATAATTAGAAGTAATCCAATTATCTCCAAAGACAGAGGCAAAACTCCATTGAACACATGGCAGCAAAAAGACAGTAAAATACAATAAAATACACATGGTTACATTTATGACATAAAATACAGACATGCAACATATGCCCAGATAGTTTAGGTCTAAGCGCACATTATTACTGAATGGCGCTCAGAGCACACACATACAGT